AATGACCTTCACTGACATTCAGTGGGTTAACAGAATGATTCTCCCATTTTTCCTCCAGGCAGAAAGCAATTCCCATTAGGAGCAGGAACCCAGGCCATCATGGGTTTTATCTCACCAGCAGCTTGGGACCAGGACATATCACATGCACACACAGCAGACAGCTGCTGGAGGACTCCACATATGTATCAGCCTGTGCACAACAGAGAATGTTCACATGGTTTTCAACTTTCAACAAATCTTAACAATCGTGAAACAATGAGTGACACTTTTATATTTATATTCTGTCACACATACAGTGTATGGTGTGACGGTGATACCTAAAGGTCATGACTCCCCACTGCAATCGAACGCAACAATGAACACAACGTCTGACCGCTTGTTCCATAGAGACACTCTGCACCTCGTTGCAGCCAGACACAACAGACAGTGATGTTTGGGCTTGGATATGGTGAGAGGCGAACACTCCAGAGATTCCCCTCTCACTGCCCCATCAATTATTCAAAAGTCATAACATGGCTGCTCAATAAAATACACTCGTGTGCGCGCGCACACATCACACACAAATAGAATCTTGGGGCTAAAAGGAGTCCCTACACAATGTAATTAAGACTAGAATTGTTCAAAAACAAACAAGTACTATGGTATTTTAATTAGAGTTGTAATATTCAGTTAACAAAAAAAATTATCAAACTTTTGATAAAAAATGTATTGAAGGAAAGCTATTCTAATTTTGACAGTTTTTCTGAGGTCTAAAAACTGAGATGAACATTTTTCACTATTTTCTGATGATTGACCTCAATCAAAATAACCAACAGTGGAAGAAATTGTTAAAATAGTTGCAGACCTACTTTTTAATATGATGCACATTCGCACAACATATAAGGATTTATGTAGCAAAACAAAAATCATTTATTGCCCTTCATGTAAGTCCTGCAAAATATATACAGTACTTGCTATGTAGAAATATTGCATTTTAACAGAATGAAAAAGAAAACCAAACAAATCCTTACAGGATTGTGTGTGATAATAATATGTTTTGTATAAAATTGTATAGAGAAATACATCACAATAACAATATAAAGTAAATCAACCCTTTTATCTACTTTATACATTTCTGTCTGGATGCAGGTTTAACATCACATGCTACATCAGAAGTAGGGCTGAGTGATATAGCTTCAGATCAATATCACGATTATTTGGATTTTCACATTTCACATTTTTACTGAATTGGCCATCCCTAATCTGAAGTAGAGCAAAGATGGCATGAGAACATCCAATTTGAGATTTATATATACAGAGCTAGTTATGCTAAAATCTGACTGCCAAGTGCTCTATACAGACACACCGCTCCACTTTCTGTTCTCCCTAAGGTACAAACTAGGTCAGTCTTCACCTGTAGAGCTGATGACAGCACGTCAAACATCCAGCACTCGCCATTCAGCAATAGATCAGTACCACAACTTCTAACCATCAGTGCCAGTGATTGAGAATTCTGATGCAACTAGTTTAATCAGCCCTGTGTGTCTCATATACAAAATAAGATCTAACCTCCACAGCTATACATTTCTGTAACAATAGAATTAACACAAAACCTTTGCCTTCAGGCATGGCTAGGTCCAGTTCACCAGACAAGTATGTCTTCATTTTGAGAAGAAACTCACACAAACACACAGAGAACATGTTACAGCAAATACATTTTCTCCACATAGACTTTGATAATGGCCTTGACTCAATCTGATTTGCTGAGATCCACTATGGAAATGAAAGAAGAACTTGAAAACCTGGCCTTAACTTAGATACATCTGACTGCACTTGATATAGAGCCTCTCTAAGCAGTGAGAAATTGTGCTCCAGATTTTTTCTGCTGAGCATCAGTCATGCCATTTTATCCACAGCTGAGGAAATGACATGGTGACAAGGTAACAAGACTGTCAAAAGATTGAGCAACTCTTATTTTACAAGGCAGGAAATGCCCTTGCGGACTGGATCAACAAAATATAGTTGTGTGAACAGCAGCATCGGCACAAATACAGAAATAACAAAGTGTAGCTTCAGTGTGTTGCCAGAGCGCAAACATATTTGTACACTCTTATATGTCTTCCCAAGAAAAACTGACCAGTCTGACCAGTCTGGATCTGCCCCCTCGTCCAGATCAGGTTCTTTCATGGTAAGCCATCCTGTAGTTTATCGTGCTCACAAACAAACAGACAGGGATAAAACAAAGCCTCAGTGGAGGTGGTAACAAAACTAGCATGAAGCTAAACTTGGGACAGAGTTTATACAACACTGAAAAAAGAAGACTTCCAAAGGCTCTCTCATAGTCCCTGCCTTGCCTTAGCTGCATAATGTCCCTTAGGGGCCGTAACTATGTGATGAAGGCTATGTACATATTGGGTCATCAGATGATGTATTCAGAGCAGTGATTTTGTTCTTTTCTCTGTATAGTAGCTCCATTTGGAACTCACACTGTGTGAACCCAACATTCATTAGACAAGCAGCCATATGGCATCCAGACAGGTGTTGAGTGTAGATTCTAGAGGACCACACACTCAACAAGCTCATCAGTCTTAGAAAGACTGACATTAACAACTGCTCTACACATTCACCCTCTGTCATGGTTCTACTGTAAATGACAGATACAACAGTAGCTAACGAAATGCTGACACAACACATTTGTGATAAATTTGACACAATTGTCATCATCCAGACTCACTTGGAAAGTGAAAGCTGATAATCTAAGATTCTTGGCAACTGTTCATTTAGTCTTGTCAGCAAAAAGCTGAATGGAGTTGACTTTATGAATGAGAGAATTAAAAATGCATTAATAATAGTAGTACTAGAGTATTTACTTATAATTTATGTCCTTACAAACTTGTTTCATGCATACATTCCTACCACTACACTAAAAGTCACAGGGTGGCTTCATGTAAGTCAGAAACAAGAACCCGTTTCCTGTAACTGAGGGTGTGCATCTATTTTTCATACACGTTTGATTTTGACATACGACTTTGTACCAGAACCCATAAACATAACAACAGTTAATAAATAAAAATAATCACACAGTAAATGGTTTATCAACACTTCAAAACCAACCTCTCCACACAGTTTCAGGGGGAACATTTTATTTACAAATGACAGGATATTCATATTCTTAACAGACTGTACGTTTTTCACTTGTCTGTCTTGATGCTTCATTCTCATCTTATCCAAGATTGTGTCTAAATATCTTTAAATTAATGTTGATTAAAATGTTCTTTACTTATTATAAGAATTAATACATACACAGTTCCCCAAGAAACTCCCAGTAAAAACCGAACCAAAAGAGTTCATAAAAGCTTTAGAATACAAGGAATTGGATGACACATGGAGTAAGTCTGCTCTATGGCCAAAGCCAAACTGAATCATGGACGAATAACGTCACTTACACAGTAAAGCCTACTTTATAAAGATTCTATTTATAACCCAGTCTGTTCATGTGGGGTTTAGCTGAACATGAAGTCAATTTTACCCACTTTCCTTCTGCTGTATAACATCTGTTTAGCCTCTTATAACGAGGACTAGCATTCATTATATGCTTATAAAAATGTAATAATATACACACACACACAGACACTCATCAGTTGTTAATGTATTAAGGAAACAGAAGAATGGCCGTGGTACCCCACAGCAATTAACGGTGCAATAATACACAAAGAGTATCGGCCCCACTGGTCTGAAACAGCCAAATAATAACTTCTAATGCATCATTTAATGCTCCCTCTCAGCTCCTATAGCCACAGATCCTCTCCCAGGTTGTGTGTTGACAGTTCATTAGGGGTTTTCACTAGGGGGGGGGGGGGTCTAAAATTACTGCCCTGTGGTTTTATCCCTCTGACAACCAGGGCTGTTTCAGTCTACATCCATTGTAATGTCACTGTGACATTTACCTTTGACCACTGAAATCTTTTTTAGCCCAAGTGACAACTGGTTAAACTGTGAAGAAATTCCCTAAAGGCAGACTGAAGTTATGTTCAAGAGCCAAAATCATGATTTGTTATGACTCCCATGATCTTGGCCTTTGACCACCCAAATCGAATCACTTAGTCCGTGAGCCTAATTGAACATTTGTGCCAGATTTGATAGGATTCTCAAGAAGATAATGCATTCATAATTTTCAAAGAAATTCCCTCAAGGCATTCTTGAGATGTGGTGTTCATAATGATGGAGAGACAGACAACCCCAAAACTTAATGCTTTGGGCCACTGACTATTTCCAGAATGGCGGCATAAAAAGGTAAACATTGCGCTGGGTTTCTAAACAGCACCTCATGCTGCATTCATGAGCTGATCTTCACATTCTATGATGAAAACACTGTATGACCCGTTATGTCTACAGTGTGTTACCTTTAAACAGTATCTTTTAACTGTTCAGAAGGAACCACTCAATCAATTACTCCAGATGTGTTTGAATAAAGACATTGCATATCTCTTGTTAGTTGTACTTGGCAATTTAAGCAAGTTGTTCTGACATGTCTTCTCATTGTTACATGGAAGTCTCACACATTCTCTATTGATTTTTGGCTTGCTACCATTAAATGGTTCCTCTGTCTGACCAGGATATGAAATTAGAAACAAGGGTGTTATAGGTCAGCATAATACCTGCCAAACATCTGATTTACAGCAGCACTGTTCCAGTAAACATGCAGGAAACATGCTGCACACTTTTTAGTTCAATGTAACATGACTGTAATCCAATACAACAGATAATCCAACTACCTGTTTCAGTTTAATACAACATCTTTAAAATTCCTTTAAATTTCATAAAAGCACCAGATAATATGTTAAATTTTGCAGTGTAAAAAGGGTCATAAAACCACAACCATGGTATTGAGATTTCCAGTGATACTCAAATACACTATAAAATGATTGTTGCTCTAATGACTGCACACCTCTTATGTCTCCAGGCCCAAACAGTGTCATGTCAACCATCTTGAATATTTCTGGAAGACACAGAACACTTACCTTACGTATCCCTTCCACTTCAAAGCCATTGAGGTTTGCATACAGTGAATGATGCCTCTTTCCTAAGAGTGATGTTGAAGTGATAGTGGCCGTGGTTGGGACTGCCTTGTCCAAGAGCCCTTGTTCCGTCTTAACCTGCTCCTCCGACCTCCTAAACTCCTGCTGCTGTCCAGGAGCCTCGGCGTCACGGCCCTCCATTTCTGTAGCCGGTACAGGCTCGGGCTGCTCAGGCCGAGTGAACAGGTCATACATCACTCTCTGTCGAAGTCAAACAGTGCAGATGGGGTCAATATGACCATATGAGGTGCCCAGCCAAGACCAAGCCATCACAGGCTTTTCATTTGCTGGAGGAGAACGACACGGATCAGCTGGGACAGGTTGACTTCAGAATGATAAAGATGTGATGTTCCTCCCGTTCTCCAACAGTTTATAAATGGCAGTTTTCTACACAATTATGGTGAAGTGTCTGAAAATAAGCAAAGGACTGTTTTTGCCATGGTTTTCAATAACGAAACAGTCTCTTCACTTTGCAGTGGCACTTTAAGCTGACAAAAATGGCACTGCTGGACTGTTACAGGCGTTAGTGTGTCATATCCAAGATAAAGCCAGTGACATATAAACCAGGAGTTATACAGTACCTCATACTCCTTCTCACTGTGATGTTTTGAAAAAATAACATTCAGCTCTAAAGGATCTTACATATTTTAGCCTTGGTTTCTCACTATGATGAATGTCATCATCCCGATAGCGTTCTTCAGCATCCCGTTGTTAGACTTTATCACAGTGTAGCAATCAGATTTGGAGATCTGCTCACCACTCTGATACAGCATGTTTCATCATGCCTTACCGCTCGGTCGCCTGGGCTTTTTCGTAGGTGCTTGTCCAGACATTGAAGAATACAAACTGTTTCAGCTCCTATCCTACATAACGCTGAAAGAGCGCGTGTAGGCCCAACTGAGATAGCAAACAAGAAGAGACGTGCGATGGAGAAATACCAGAAAAGGATTTAACTAACAGGTCTCCCCTCCGATTGCCAATCTCTCAGTAAGACTGGGCTGTGGGTGGCATGTTGACTCTTCAGCCGCGAGTCCATCCTCATTGATGATGCTGTGACAAAAAGCATATGATCCAGATGCGACAAGACTCGACAGGGCTGCTTAATCCTATCTCGGTTACAGCGCCATAAAGGTGAAGAAAGAGGACGAAGGGAAAAATGTGTGTGTATGTGTGTGTGTGTGTGTGTGTGTGTGTGTGTGTGTGTGTGTGTAAGGAGGCGAGTGTCGCTGAGAGGAGGGGGTAGGGAGGACTGCTTCAATCGTCCTATCACAAAAAGGCAGCCTTTGAGACGGGGCCCAATCATTACCACGACTAGAGCTCGTTTCCATGGAGATGACGCTGGAATGATGTTGGCTGCCTATTGATTGTTCAAGAGGCAGTACACACTGCAACACAGGCAGGCTGCAGGAGGCAGACAGGGGGAAAGTGTGTCCAGTCCAGACTACTTCTAATGTTTTACTGCAGTTGTCTTCTATAGAAACTAATTGTGTCTGACAAGGTAATGAATGCTACTTATGGTGTAAACAGGTCTAGAGCAGCAAAAAAAAATCTGTGTTAAACTTAATGCTGATTTATTTTGGCCTCACTGCCCTCCTCTTTACTAGCAGGTGATATAAAGTACTCGAGCTATTTGTCTATCAGAAGAGCAAGGCAGCCTAATGAATCCCATTAACAAGCAGTGGCTTGAATCCAAGCCAAAAGATGGGGGGGTTATTCAGGCATCTGGTTAAATCCTCACTCAACCGTGACAAACTATACATTATCTAAAAGCACAGACCGTTACTTTGGCTGTTGCTCATTTTAAAGCATGCGTGTATACAAAACCCAACAGTAATAATAGTTGGCCATAATTGATGACCCTTTAACTGTCTCCCATAGTGCACACAGCAGCAAAGACACAGTCACACACACAACATGTTGTCGACATGGTAGTTCTTCACTGTGACTGAAGAAGACGAAAACCCACACCCGCAATACTTGTAAGGCTAAACTAAGCAGTGGTGGAACAACCACAAAAACGTTCAGAGCAACAAACAACAAGTGGCTATATATAGTATTTCGTTTTTAGGAATGTATTTGACTTTTTTATATTGAGCTCTGTCAAATTTAATTTTATTGTAATGTAAATATTGCACTAATTGCACTGCTTAGCTGACCCGTTTCTTATCAGAGAACACTTTTCATTGTACTGTTTACCCTATGTTAACTTGCAAAAGACAATTAAAACTTGAATAATGAAACTAGTGTAGCAAGAATGCAGAGCTTTCACAAGCCTGCAGACTCTACTTTCTATTGTCAACAATAAAATCACTTAATGGCACTGTTCATTTTTTGTAGTTGAGGAACGAATAAATTTGATAAATGACCAGAGCTTAAGATACACACTTAGAGAAGTAGACCATACTTCAGTCACATTACCAGACTTGTTAAAGCTCATGTTATGCCACACACACAGCTTGCTACAAGCCAATTCCAGAGTAGCAATTAATTTTCCAACTGACTAAGCTTGAAGTTAATGTTGAGTCTGACTGCTCAGTGGGTTGTCAAAGATTTCAAGCAACACAGATTATTTTACACTGTTGAGAAATAACAGGGCCCCAGAGTGCTGACAATCTAACTGCCACATTTGACACAATGGTCTCAACTGTAGGACATTGACAAGTCCATGGTTCATGTGGTGTTGGAGACAATGCTAACAATATGTCCAAAGCACTGGATGAGGGAAACTTTCCCAGCTTGCCCTACATGTGACACACTACAATACACATTAGTTGATGGAGAATGAGGGCCTGCTGTCCCAGTAAAACATCGCTAACGCAGTGGCAACCTTGGGCCTTTAAGACACTCTTCGCTCAACTATTCACAACTTCATGACATCCAAGCACAGTTGGGTCAGCCTAATGCTGCATTCAGACATGCACTGAACTCTGGATAGTCTCCTGAAAGCATCCAGAGGGAGAATATGTACGAATAGAGTCAGAAGCTCCAGCCTTCCTCTGGAGCTTTTCCTGTCAGCCACCTACAGTATTACAAACTCAGGGGAATCTCCAAATGAGCTGATGTGAGAAAGAAGTAGGATATTGTCCTGAGAATTCACCTTGAGTGGGTGTGTTGATGACATTTTTACCACACAATAGACCCAAAACTGAAAAATATATAAATAAATGAATATAGATACAGTCGCAGAGGTTGAAGATAGGTAGAAGACGCTGAAGAAGAGATCAACTTGGAAGGATGAAGATATTCAACAGCTTTTGACATGTTACATCTGCAGCAGAACTTATACTTCCTGCATTCTCTACCCAGGCACCGCACCTCACCTGAACGCTCCAGAAATGAACATGTCATGTCTGAAAAGAGCTTAAGAAACAATTTGCAGCCAGATATTCCAAGTACCGTTCCACACAGCAGGCTACAGCAAGCAAGCTGGGCTGAGACTGTCCTACTTTTCTCTACCAATATCAATTTGGACACCTCAATTTAAAGTATTTGCCATTTGAAGTATGGGTCTAAGGAATCAAATCAGCGGATCAGTAGTTGCAAGCTGAAACAAAAGTTCCACTATTTTCATCACAAAATTATGTAAACACATTAGGAATGGGACAAAGATAATATTTTTACGAGTTGAAAAATAAAATAAATCTTCGATCAGGGGGCAGATGTGTGTGTTTACTTGATATATTGTCCCTGTGTCTCTGTTGTAGGCCATTGTGGACCTGTTACAAATGAATGAAAATGCATTTTTATCTGAATATTCTATCACTTGTTCAAAGTCACTCTCAATACACTTGGCAAACCAAGTGAGAATATGACATGGATTTGAATTAACTGTCATGTACAGAATGTTCACTCAGTGACACATGGAACAGGCTGTGAAACGGTTTTTGATTTAGATTTTTTTTTAAATGAGGAGCCTCAACCAGACCGATCAAGCTTATACATATCCCCTGTCTCTCACAGATATGAGCTTCTCATTTTGTGCTAACGCAGCATTTCAGTCCTTTCCATTAATAATTCCTGTGTGCTCACAAGACCATGGCTTCAGGAGCTGAAAGACTGGAACCAACCCTGGTGTGAACTCAATTCTCCTGATTGGGAACAGAGCTGCTTACAGCGAAACCACCAGCAACAGTGCTCATCACATGCTCACACAGCACACTTATGCTAAATATATAAACTCTGACTGAGCATTCAACAAAGAGAAGCCTCCAGTCAGCATTCATGTCAAATAGTATATCCTCTGCACAGAAATTCAAAGGTCCATTCATCCATTTCACTAGATCCATCATGACTCAGTAGTATTGACATCTTATCACACTGATAAGTTTTGACAAAGCCGCACTGTTAGCCATGTGACTGTGCAGACTGGATGTCAAATATACTGACAAGAACAATATCCATCAAAATAGGACAGAGAAATTGACATCTCTGAAATATCAATTATATATTTTCCAAAGAAACCCGCAAATGCCAAAATACAAATACAGCTCTCTGTCCTTCCTTAAGTTTGTTTGTAAGTTTTGTCAAGCCATACATTTTAATAAGCTAAGAGATGTTATATGATAAACATGTTTCTCTTATTGAATTACATATGCACCTTTTGTTCAGCTAGTATAATAAAGTATATATAACTTTGAAAATCAAACACTGTATAGCACAAATTGTCAGAGGAATTAAAAACATTTGTGTTATCTATAGCACAAACATTGTATATATATAGAGAGATATCAGATATTAGATATCATCCATACAACAAAGGGTGACGCTTTCTCAATGATGTGAAAGACACACGAGACAAAAATGAAGCTGGGCAAGTAGGCATTGCTGATTGCTTTACTTTGATGAATTATTGATTTTCATTTTCATTATTAATTTTCCTCTCATTGAAAACTTGATCTAAAATTTAGGAGACAGGAGCACATTGACCCACTTCTGCCACTCCAAAAAACAGAAATGACGCACCAGCACATAACCCCCTACTCTCTGCTCACATCCCACATGACCCACCACAACAACACTGACAACAACAGAGATTCTCGGAAATGTTTTTACACAAAATCACATAAGTCCCATTACATGTTTCTTTTCAACATCTTTTCATTATTGACAACAGATAAGCCTGCACAGCCAACAAGTGTTTGGTTCTCCTGTATAAACTATAAACATAAAAATATAAACTCCTCCCTTGTTTGAGTGGGGGGGGGGATTATCTGTGGTCTTCACTAGAGAGGCCAAAGTATAAATATTTATTGCTAAAATGGTCAAGTCAATTTATAGTGAACATGGTTTAAATTAATCTAGATTCTGTGTTGTATGTATTGAAAAAATTTTAATATGTATATTTTGATTTGATCTAGTGCATATGGGGACTCGGGTGATGGGAACATACTCCTGTCAGTGGGTTCACATTATTTCATTAATCTACAGGTGCCAAGATTTTCTGAAATACACTAAAAAATAGCTAAAGAAAAAGAAGGAGACCGCAAACTAGTAAACATGGATGTAAACAATATTGGATTTTTTGAGGGATGACACAAATATGTGTTGTTGAGCAACATTAAATGTAATAGTAACTTGTTTGTTTGCAGGTCAATATGAAGCCTTCAGGAAAACAGAGGTTGTTGAGAGGAATATGTAAATATGAAATATCTTACCTCCATGTTTCTCTCCATGCATTTGGAGGGCAAGGACTCAGTGCAGGAGGGGGGCTGGTCGTCCCAGCCGGCATGGGGAGTGTTGTGAGGGTGACAAATTTTCCGAGAGCCACTCCGACAGGTGTCCACGACTGCAGCGGTGTTGCTGGGGTCAGCTTCACACAAGTCCCTGCCTGAAGGCTGCTTTTGCTGATCTTCTTTGCTGCTCTGCTTCGATGAGTGGGCTGCACTCTGAGATCTCTGACAGGATTTATCGCCGTCTTCCTGAGTAGGCTTTTTTGAGAGACTTTTACTGGGGTGTGCTGCTCTCTGTCTCCGCTGCAACAATCGTCCGTGGGTCTCTAGCAGGTGGCAGAGAAAAATGGCTTTTTCTAGCTCAATGTCCTGCCGCTGATGCAATTTGTAAACTGCCTGCTCACCATTTATCTCCTCATACAGTGTCAGCAGCAACAGCTCCAGCTTTCTATAGGTTTCTCCTCTGCTCAAAGGAAAAGCCTCTTTCCCTGAAGACTCATCCTTACTGGATTGATCAGTATCTTTACTGTTCACCTCTTTAGCCACAAAACCCCTGCTTCTGTTAGAGTGCAAGTCCTTGCGCCTTGCCGTCAGCTCCCTCACAGCCCTCTTCTGTTCCCTCTCTGCTTCTTCTCGCAGTCGCCTTAGCTCCACACTGAGGTGTCCGCGGGCCCGCTGCGTCTGGCTCTTCTCCTTCTCCAATTCAGCACGCAGCCTCTCAAGCTCTCGCCCATAGTCCGCCTGACTCTCGCAGTATTTCTTGGATGACAGTGGCAGAGGGTTATCCCTGTCTTTCCTCATGATGCCTCATTCACAGCACAACATGCAAGGAAAGGCAGGACACATTCGTTTCTAAAGAAAGGCCTATGCATCAGAGTTGAGAGGAAGTGCAGGTGGGTGATGGATGAAGGTTATCACAGACATGCAGCATGCAGTTATCACACCAGGTCACAGGCCACACTGGAAAGATGAGACAGTGGAGGGTTTGAAAGAAATTAGGTGTTATTGTTTTAGCTGAGTGCACTGACTAGAAATACAGTGCTTCTAATATGGTGAAAGATCCGTCTCAACAAATTACAAAACAAAACATACTTTCTTTAATATTGAAACTTCATATATTCATCACATGTATAGTGAAATATTTTGATTTAATTTCGATGATTATGGCTTACAGCTCACAAAAGTCAAAATTCTTGAATAAGCTTTGGTTGACAATTTTCTCAAAGCTGTTGTCAACCATGTTGCCTGGGGACCTTTTCCCACCACACTTTTCCCTTTCATTCAACTTTCATTGAATATGCTTCGATATAATGCTTACCCTGTATAATCGTCTTCTGGACATGCAGTCAACTCAGCCGTCTACCCCATGATTGTGGTTGAATGCACTGAACTAGACCTAGACACAAATAGTATTTAGATTGTTTGAATAGTAATTTACTCAAACTCATAATAAACTATTCTCATATTTTGAGATGCTTTCATTGAGCTGTAGGCCATAATGATCAAATTAAGGATTACAATTTTAGTTTACGTGTAATGAGTCTAGAATATATAAAATGTTTACAATGTTAAAAAAAACCTGTCGAAAAACACATTGAACTTTTTCACTATGATCTAAAGTTTTGAGATGATTATCGCCTCTCTCTGTTTCAGGAGGATCAGGAGGATGCAGAAAAAAACAATGAAGGCAATCAGGGGAATCAATTATGAAAGACAGGACAGTAAACACACAACAGAGATGTGATACTCTAAATAAAATGGAACATTTGAACTGCCTCCATGGAAACCTCGACATGACTGTGTTTCTAGGTGTTTATGAGCTTTACCTCCCGATGATAAGTGACAGAACTAATCACCATGACACACACGAGACCACAATAAGAGCCTGTCCCCTCTCAGTGTTCATGGAGGCCATGTTTAGGAGCAGGGCTCTGACCTCCAGCTGAGGGAGCAACAGGTGAACCGTTAGCTCTCATCACTCCTACCCACACCAGCCCCACTCAGCGGACCCCACACACGGCTCATGTTGCACACAGGGTGGGGACTCCTTCTGGAAATGGCTAATCACCTACTTTAACTCCAGCGGACCGTCACACGCCCAAACGGGCGCTGCTTACGCCAGGCGACGCTATTTTAACAACGCGACCAACAAGTCCTGACGAGCTGACCGCGCTAGCCGCCGTTAGCTCCCCGTGAAGTTTGCGAGCGTTCCACTCACCTCTCAGCAGCACCCTCCTCTCACGTTCCACTTCTCATCGGTGGAGTCCGTCACTTCGAGCCGAGGTTTCCGCTGTCGCCATGATCATGCGCCGTGTGGGAACACGGGGGCGGCCGGGGTGTGGAGTTAAAGGTCCATGAAGCCATGCAGACACTTTGTTTACGTCTGCAGAGTCTCACACCGCGTCCTCCGTCACTCTGCTGGCCACTGTGCTGCATTCACGTACCCCCGTCTCAGCACACAACTTACCCAGTACATTTCAATGGCTCACAGTATGTGTGCTGGCTTTCAATCGACAGTTTTAGTCATTTTGGCCCCTCCCGTCCTCACTATTCCTTGTGATGAAATGTTTTTCTTTCTTGATGCAATTATGCTACAGATTAATTTGACTTGTTGGGTTTTTCATAATGATTTCAACATTATCGACTGTCCCTGAAGGCATCATCATCATTGAGTCCAACCAACTTGTGTGAGTCGGGCGACCACTAGTGGTGGCAAGCTGGAAGTGCAGAATTTACCAGTTGAGTGGAGGCTTTATGTAGAAATGTTCAGACTCGGATCTGAGGGGGACTCAGCTTAAAAGAAGCTGTAAAAAAACTTTTAGACATATTCTCCCAATGCTCCTGAGCCACTCATTGATGTTCAGCACATTTCAGGACACTGGAGCTTTGTATCGTGTTTTGATTCACAGATTTATTAGTCCAGAAACTGGTGAATGTTGCAAATATTAGGTAAAAACTAAGAAACATCAGTAAAAGTCATAATTGCATGCAAAGTACACACAAATTAATTAATAATAGATAGATACCAACATACATTTATGAATAGATACATACATACATATGAAGAAATCTCCAGGAAAGATAATCAACAGATGATAAATTGACCCAATACAATCCTTCAACATGTCCATCACACTTACCAAAAGCAATTGAATATGCACAGAAATAAACATTATCCAAATTAACAGCATTCTCTCTCCTCATTACTGTAAATTTAAAAAGAAATACTTTTTTCATCTTTTTCAACTGTATTATATCATTTAATTTTTTTATGTTAGGATCCTATATTATATATTAATATATATTAATATATATAGATATTATTTATGCTGAGTCACGGTCACACTGTTAAGTCTAACTGGAAAAACAACAAAGCCATTGTTAATGTTAATAAAGTATAAATTCACTCATGTTTTTTTCCTGTTTTTCATTATGTTAGTGAAAATGTTTCCTGTCCTACATATTCCAATCCCGCCATAGATTACAATGTTAACACACTCAATTGGATGATTTATTATGTCATCTCTTGCCTATATACTTTCTTTCAGTGCCGTATCACATGTCAGCGGAGTGTTTGATGAGAGAGAATGAACTGTAGTGTGTGTTGAAACATAAACAAAACACCACTTGTGTCACAGAATTTGGACAAACAGGAAAGAGAAAAAAAGCAGACAAACGACACAGATTAAGTTGAAAACAAGTCAAATGTGTCATAGTTCAAAGTTGCTCTTTGTGAGAAGCACATGATGTACAGAAGTAGTATCAAGACAGAAATGACAGAAAAGCGATGCAGTCCACTGATCAGGAAACAGGCCCAAAGTCACCACTGAGGTAATGATGTTTTATCACAGCAGCTGTCAGATATAAAAACTAAGACATGTAATTTCAAGCTGCTTCCACATGATCCCTAGACAGTTCACACAAACAAAACAAGCTAATTCTGACTAGTCCCAGTTTTATGTTGCAACCAACCCAGTGTTATGTCTAAGGATTTTGTGCATCACAAGAATGCAGTGTATTAATGACCCTTGAGACCTTGAGAAATTCTTTCTGAGAGATCATTGTTTGGCAAAGACAATGATATTGAAATGTATAAATCCTCAAAGGTATGTACATCCCCGGTCACTCTGCCAAAGCCCATCACAGAGGCAAAGCACACAGAATGTGACCACAGGGTGGCATTTACTCAGCACACCTGTTAAGACACATTACTCAGAACACTTATTTTTCCCTCTGGGGTTTTTTTCCCTTGTGTTTCCAGCAAACATCAAACATGAATTCACCCTGCACCTTGCTTTTATATCTATTTTTTCTCACCATCATCAGTGCTGCAAGTGCATCGGCTGGAAGCATCTCTAACGGCCTGTGTTCATTGTGAGGGAGAAAGAGGCAGAGACAGAAAGAGAGAGATCTAACATACCACTCTCTGTTATCAGGGTGTCCTTGGGCTGCTCCCTCTCTCATTTCCACCTCTTTCTGCTCACGTGTGGCCGACTGTTGGAAAGAGGCAGAAACACAGAGAGGTTTAGGGAGAGAAAATACACTGAAACATTTTTGAATTCTTCCTGCTGAATCTGCTTAATCATTTAACACATTTTCCCTTCGGCTTGCATTTTTTAAAACTGCAGTACTGATACTATGAAACACATCCCAGCAAAGAGATAACAGGCTTGTTGTTGTCCTGTTGGCAACTGCCTAGATGTGCATGCTGTAATGACCAACAGTATATCTCATCCACATTTCTGGACATGTTTCCATTTACACACGTCTTGCGTCCGTCCTGTTTCTGTTGTTCTGACCTGAAGCCATGGACACGATGTGACCATATTTCTGTACCCATATTTTCATACACAACACATTATTGACCTTCTGTACACAGCTACTATCAAATCCAATGCGTGTGTCCTGACTAACTCACTATGGTAAGTATTAGTAGTTACCACCACTAATGATACTAAAAGCAGCAAAGTGAAAAAAGTATCCAACAGTTTCATGGTGGCAGCTGAAGCATGCTTGTATAAAATCTCACCATCATCTAAAACAGAAAGGAATATATTATATTTTCAACTTTCTGTAATTTCAGCAGATCACTTCAGATTTTGTTGCGTCATTTGTGTCTATTTGGGTTGTGTCATTCACAAAAGCAGAATGACAAAGAGGCAGGTGTCATGTGTTTGCCTGTTATAGGCATGACAGAAATAAAGGCCAAACATTAAAATGTATCAGAACATAGGTATTTCCTTACAGTGCCCTTTATAATAAATATAATGCAGTCAAGGTTACGTAATCTGTAGCAGCAGCATGTTTTACTTTGATCTTTACAACATGTCAGATCAAGTTTATACACAACACATATTTCAAACACAAAGCTGACTGCTTTTAGTAATTTCTATAGTCAAATAAATTCAGAATACTGTAGTCTTTATATATATATATGTATAATTCATTCAAAGTACACGTATGTACCTGAGTTATTGAATACCACCTGTTTGTGACCCACTTAGAAAAGTTGTCAATGAAGGTTTCAGGGTGTCAAGTTGCACTACTTGTGTCAAGTTCAATTTCAAGACTCTTGTATCTTATGCAACAAAGGCGTTTAGATAACCCATGTCTTGGACTCTGTGACATCTTTGTTTATCTATAGGTGATCTATATGAATACACAAACTCTGTGCACCTTCAGAGTTGCATAACATAGAATCCAATGGCATGAACAACATATGATGTCACCATATCAATTTTCTTTCCCTAAATTTGAACAATTGCCCATTGAGAGTAGACAGTTTGCAAACATTTCCCACAGAAATTCATGAATGTGTATATGTATGCTACATGTATGTTTAAATGTATGTTTATATGTATATGTATATGTATATGTATATGTATATGTGTGGACAAAGGCAACTTAAGAAGAAACACAAGCCTGGTTGCCTATATGTATACTTACGTAACTTGTGTATCCTTCCACCATCTATTCATCTTCATTCTTTGAGTGTCGAAGGAGTGAAGTCCAATTAACACTGGTAATAAAGAAATATCAGCCAATCTGCAGCTTCCATTGGTTCTATTTCAGCTGATTGTTTAGTTTTGAACCAAAAATCATTTAATGCAGATTTAAAGATTTAAAATGTACAGAAATTATTAACTTATGGCTACCAAGTACTAATTTATACATTCCACCTTCTTAGCATTGAATATAAGCAACTTCACTTGTTCTTTACAGGAAATGCAAATGGTGCAATGGTGCCTATGAATGGGAACAACCTTTATTATATACATGGTCCCTCTCGGTCATATCCTCCATATCCTCTGTAGGAGTCGATGGAGCTATGGTGCTTAAAGTTAAAACTAAACAGGCTTAAATGGCATTTAGAAACTATGCTGCCCAGTGTTGGCACCAACTCCTGCTATAGATATCAAATCTGCCCCAAACTGCTTTAAAAATAAAGCCTTCACTTAATCACAAAAAGCTGCACTTTCATCAGGAGTTTCCTGTTTTATCATCCGTGCTTTTGTGCAATTTCTGTACTTTTCAAAAGGTCCATCCTTTTATGATTTTATTTCTGTGCAGCCCACTGAATGACTCCTGCATATGATAATGTGTTATACAAATAAACAGAGGTTAGTAGTTCTGCCACTTTGTCTGTTGTGTTTTCTCAATCGTATCCTGGAGGTTCAGCAAATTAGCTCCGTGTAACAGAATCCCCCATATTTTGACTCGACTACTGATGCAGGTGACATCGCAGAGGAGAGCCCTGAATTGGTCCTGGAGAACTGTAACAATGGCCACAGACAGCCTGCACGTTTCAGCTCAGGAAGGATTAGTGTGAGGAAGCAATCGCTGTGAGTCGGCTGTACAATCTAAAGAGGCCCAGGGCTTTTCCATGTTGGATGACATGTAATTGCAGAAGTATAGATTATCTTGTATGCCTGGAGTATAAGCACACTGAGACACATTCGGCTACTTTAAAAAAATTTAATAAAAATGTGCAAGAATGCATGGTTAATGTTAATGTTAAGAAAAAGTATTTCTTTCAAGGGATGTACTGTACATGTTGAATAATCGTGAAGATAGTATTTAGTTAATTCTGTTAGTAAACAGATTTTTTATGTTTTTAAAGACGACCCCGGTATAAACTCAACTATGTCTTTTGACAAATATTATCCGAAAACTTGTTTCAAACTGAATTTTTAACCACTCAATAAAAATGTTTGTGTGGAACTTAGTCAGTGCTTGATCCAATATTATTTGTCAGTCATCAGTATTTTTGTGGGATTAATTAAAGAGTGGACGATTATTTAAACGGTAAACATTTTCAGAGAGCTTCTGTTCTCTGAGAACTTCATAACTTTCATTGTCTTCTGATCGGAACACACACACACACACACACACACACACACACACACACACACACACACACACACACACACACACACACACACACACACACACACACACACA